TTTGAGACAGAGTCTCACTCTGCCACCCAGGCTAGAGTGCAATGGCACTATCTCAGCTCACTGCAACCGCTGCCTCCCAAGTTCAAGTGATTGTTCTGCCTCAGCCTCCTGAGTAGCTGGGATTACAGGCGCCTGCCACTACATCTGGCTGATTTTTGTATTTTTTTTAGCAGAGACAAGGTTTCACCATGTTATTCAGGCTAGTCTCAAACTCCTGACCTCAGGTGATCTGCCCACCTCTGCCTCCCAAAGTGCTGGGATTACAGGCGTGAGCCACCGCACCCAGCCAGCATGGATATTTTTTTTAAACTAATATGGGTAACTACTATTGTTCTAGTCAGTAAAGCAAAAAAATCTAACTAAGGCTGATCAAACGCCATTAAATGATTGAATGCATTGCATGTAGTATCTCATTTAAGCCTTATGACATACAGCCTGGCCAATAGGTACCCTTGTTATAATCCCCATTTTATGGATGTGAAATGTATGCTTAAGTCATACTGCCTATATGTGCCAAAGCTGGGATTTTATCCCAGATCTGTTAGCTCCAAAGCCAGTCACCCAAACAATACTGTTCTTGGTAGATGAGCTGACTGTACAAGAAGAGCTCACTGCTTTCAATTTCTTTCTTTCTTTTTAATTAATTAATTTATTTATTTTTCAGACAGGGTCTGGGTCTGTCGCCCAGGCTGGAGTGCCATGGTGTGGTGCAATCTCAGCTCACTGCAATCTCCACCTTCCTGGCTCAAGCCATCCTCCCAAGTAGCTGGGACTATAGGTTTATGCCACCACACCCAGCTAGTTTTTGTATTATTATTATTTTTTTTTATAGAAGTGGGGTTTCACCATGTTACCCAAGCTGATCTTGAACTCCTGAGCTCAAGCCATCCACTCATCTTGGCCTCCCACAGTGCTGGGATTACAGGTGTGAGCCATTGTGCTTGGCCTAATTTATTTCACTTTTTCTTGAGGTTTAATTTACATACACTGAGATGCATTATTAGTTTTAAGTGTACAGGTCCATGAGTTTGACAAAAGTATACACCCCTCTAATCACCACCCAGATCTTCATGCCCACCTCCCTGTCAATCCCTACCCCCAGAGGTTTGCTCTGATTGTTATCACCGGATTCACTTTGCTTATTCTTGAATACCATATAAGTGGAATTGCACAGCATGTAGTTCATTGTGTCTGGCTCATTTTGTTCAGCATTCTGTCTGTAAGGCTCATCAGATCACTTCTTATGTCAGGAAATGATTACTAAGGATGTAGAAGATGCTAAGCCAATCAGACTCAGGACAAAGCTCAGGTCTTTAATTGCAGAGCTGGGAACTGCTATTACCAAGAAGCCCTTCTCCACCTCTGGCACCATAAATCCAGTGGTGCTCCCACAGCTGATATTAACAATGGAGCGCCCCATAATGTATTTCTACAGAATTGTTCAAGACACTTGGAATACATCAACCTCACACAATCTGGGAAGCAACAGAATCCAGCTTCCTGGAATAAGAGGAAAATGTGTGCTGCAGTAAGTTCAGCCTCTAGACTCTAGGAGCATGGGAATCATTCTGATCTTCCTGGTTTCAGAATGATCCCAAAGAGCATGATTAATATTTGGCAGGTGAGAAGGGTGAGTGGCAGGGAGAGCACCCCTGGTGCAACCCTACTTTGTGAAAGTTCAGTAGAGTCCTCATGCTCCCCTATCCTCCCCATCAGAACTGAGCCCAGAATGTCATGGCTGACCCCAAAATAACACAAACTGTAGTCCAACCCCTGGACTACAGACCCATACCAGTCTGTTGCCCATGAGGAACTGGGCAGCAAAGCAGGAGGTGAGTGTTGGGCAAGCAAGCGAAACTTCATCTGTATTTACAGCAGCTCCCCATCACTTGCAATACTGCCTGAGGTCCACCTCCTGTCAGATCAGTGACAGCATTAGATTCTCATAGGAGCATGAACCCTATTGTGAACTGAACATGTGAGGGATCTAGGTTGTGCAATCCTTATGAGAATCTAATGCCTGATGATCTGTCACTGTCTCCCATCACCCCCAGATGGGACCATCTAGTTTAGGAAAATAAGCTCAGGGCTCCCACTGATTCTATATTATGGTGAGTTGTATAACTATTTCATTATCTGTTACAGTGTAATGATAGAAATAAAGTGTACAATAAATGTAACACTCTTGAAACATACCGAAACCACGCCCCCTCACCCTGCTCCCCCACAACCTGTCTTTGGAAAGATTGTCTTCCACAAAACCAGTCACTGGTGCTAAAAAGACTGGGAACTGCTGTTTCAAAGTCATTTGACCAGCTTTTTAAAAATACTGATTTTGGGGACCCCACCCCAGGCCAATACAATCAGAAGCTCTGGAAGTAGAGCCTTCGTATGGATTTTTTTTGACTCGTCTCTAAATTCCCTTCTACTTTATTATATATTTTTTTCTTTGGTTATATTTTCTTTAATAAGAAGAGACAGGGTCTCACCATATTGACCAGGCTGGTCTCAAACTCCTGGCCTCACGCAATTTTCCCATCTGGCCTCCCAAAGTGCTGGGATTACAGACGTGAGACCGTGCCTTGCCCCTTCTAGCTTTAATATTCCTTTCAATTGGGAATGTTGATGTGAAAAAATTGGCCTTACAGATTTAGGCTGCGCTTTAGAATCTTGGATTCTTTGCTCATTTTTTCTCCTTTCTGTCTAGACCATGAGCAGTAATGAAGGAATTGCTCCACTGAATCGAGACATAAACCTATTCATTCTAGGCTAAGCTAGTCACAGATGAACGGAAGATAGAAAACCCAGCATCTCCCTGAGGAAGACTCGTTTCTAATGGCTGCATTTCTTCACATCCTTTTGTTGTTGTTGTTTTAATAAACATGTATTGAGTGCCACTGTGTGCCAGGTAGTATGTACAAACAGGTATTTTATAGCTAAAGTTTCACATACAACATATATTTCAAGCATTAGGATGCATAAATGCAAATACCTTGTTTTTGCAGAAGTTGAATGTTGCAAGAAATATTTTAAGTCCCTGAGGGTGAAATTTACATAAAAGTAAATATCAACTTTATTTCATGAATCAATATTTGAATAACAAAGTAAATGAACAATTGGATCTGAAATCAGAGACGTGCAGGTTCAAATGCTTGCCAATAATAAACTCTTGCAGCCTGAGGCAAATGACTTAACCTCTTGGAGCCTTTTTCCTCATTTGTACATGAGGGAGCTGGTGACCAGGACACCTGGGTTGAATCTGACTCACTTGAGCAAGTCACTTACCTTGCTATGATATGTTCTTTCAAGTATCCACCTTGGAAGGTGGTTGTGAGGATCAGTGAGGTACTTTGTGTGGAGACTAGCTATTACCCTGTCTGTCAAGTAAGTCACTCAGTAATTGTTTGCTTTAGGGATATCCCCATTTTCAATTCCAGATATTCATGTTTTAATACTCAGGCAGAAATCAAATCTAGCCCCAAGTGGGTTAAATGGGCCAATTTTCTGTTAAATACCCTTTTACTTCTGTAGCCTCAGGTGCAACTGACATCCTGTCCTGCCACAACATAGCAGTAGTGTTATTAGAAACCACACACTTTCATGCAGGGGAGGAAAAAGTAAAGAAAGAAAGAAACACAAGCATCTGCTACATGTGTGATTGATTTTCAGATGTGCGCAAGCTGGCAGTTTGTAGTTGCTCTTTTCTTGAAGTGCAACGCCGTCAGAAATCAATACGCTGAAAGCAGTTTTGGAAAGCTAGCTGGGGAACCCCTGGAGAATTCTGAGAGCTATTGGCCACATCCATTCTAGCTTTAGACAAGTCCCCTAACCTGGTACTCTGTTTTTAAGATGAGTGGCCAGGGCACTATCTCCTCCTTGTTACATGTGAAGATAAAGCTATCAACCCCTCCTCATGGACAGGCCAAGAGCTTTGATCTTTGTTTCAGTGGGGCAGTCAGCTGGGGAAAGGAGATAGATTTCATCTGACTTGAGATCGCTAAAGTGTATTGATAATAATATCCCCTCTTGGGGTGCATTAAAGGGTGTCCCTGGGCCAGGTAAATTTGCATCTCTTCTGATAATTTTAAAAATAGAAATGGGGTCTCACTATGTTGCCCAGGCTTGACTCAGACTCCTGGGCTCAAGCGATCCACCCACCTCAGCCTCCCAAGTAGTTGGGAGTACAGGCATGCACTATCATTCTGAGCATTCTTGAGGGGAAGCATGGAAGTAGTGATCAGCTTCCAAATTTACACTTGGATCTCAATCTATACCCATTATTAGCAATGATAAAAATAGTAACAGCTATAATGTATTGAGTAGTTATGTGCTAAATTATCTCATCCATGGGGGGAACTGAGGCTTAGAGAGAGGAGGGGTAATTCGATTAAGGTCCCCCTAGTAATGAGTAGAAGGATAAGTTTTCAACACAGATCTGTCTAAATGCAAAGCCTGACCAACTAAGCTCCATACGACTGTGACCCTTGCCCAGAATCTCATATGATCTGTGACTTGTTCTTGCACGATAACTGACCAGGTCTGGAGGACCAGTTTGTGGACAGGAGCACAGTCTCTACTGCTTGGAACTGGGGAGCAGAAAATGAAACAGGCCACAGGGGGTTTGAGCCCAGAACCTCAGCCTCACTGTCGCAAGATTTGAATTATCTGAGCACTTGATTATACCTCATCCTACCATGAAAAATGGATAGGCTTTTTACATACTGCTTCAAATCAGGAAATGATTTAGGTCTTTCAAGGACTCATTTGGCATAGCTGGCATCTGCTTTCAACTTGGGAATTGAATATCATCAAAGCAATTCTCTCTTGGATGGGGTTCTCAGATATTGATGGGTTTGTTTCTAAGGAAACAGACAGAGGCAAAAAGACGCCCTATTTTGCCCTCAGATTGGCCCTTAGCATGCTAATTACATATATACACCAGGGGTTCCAAAAATGAACATTTTATACTCAGATTCTTAGTTTATCTCCATGCATCCAAGCCACTTTCCAGAGCCTCCCCCAGTTTGTGCTATTCTTTGTGGTAGAGCCTTAACTTCAGGGCCACTTCCTGCTGCCTTCCTCCATCTCTTGTCTTCATCAACCCTCCATCTGTTCTTTCCTCCGAATTTCATCCCCAGATGCCCTCCTTCCCCTGTGAGGGATACACAGCATGGTGTGCCTGTGACCCACACAACTCGTGATATGCTACCAGTCCACAGTACAATTATAGATTCCATTCCTTTCTATATTTGATATTTCCTTTACTCTGGCTTAGAAGTGTTTGCAGGAACTCTACGTAGACAAAGGTACAATTTGTCATTAAGGCAGGTAAATAATGAACTGCAGTGGCTACATGAGACTCAGGACTTTCTGTTTTCTCCTTTGGAATAGGTCATTTTTGATAATAGCATTCGACTTTTTTTGGGAGGTGGGGGTTGGGGGAGATGGAGTCTCATTTTGTTGCCCAGGCTAGATCTTTTTTGTTTGTTTGTTTTTTGAGACAAGGTCTCATTCTGTTACCTGATCTGGAGTGCAGTGTTATGATCATGGCTCACTGCAGCTTCAACCTTCTGGGCTCAAGCCATCCTTCTCCCTCAGCCTTCCAAGTAGCTGGTACTACAAGGGGGTACCACCACATCCAGCTAATTTTGTTTTTGGGTAAAGACAGGGTCTCATTATGTTATCCAAGCTGACCTTGAACTCCTGGGCTTAAGCAATCCTCCTGCCTCAGCTTCCCAAAGTGCTAAGATTACAGTTGTGAGGCACTGCACCCAGGCTAGATCTTTATATATAGGACTTAGTCTGGAGTATCTAAGGAAAGAGATCAGTGGATAACTGGGTACAAAAAGTAAAAGTCAAAGGAATTCTGATTCTGAGTGCAGAAATTCTGATTCTGAGTGTATGCCCTTACTAATATTCAATTGTTTTTTTTTTACTTATTTACTTATTTATTTATTTATTTATTTTGAGATGGAGTTTCTCTCTTGTTACCCAGTCTGGAGTGCAATGGCGTGATCTCGGCTCACCACAACCTCCACCTCCCAGGTTCAAGCAATTCTGTCAGCCTCCCAAGTAGCTGGGATTACAGGCATGTGCCACCATGTCCGGCTAAATTTGTATTTTTGGAAGCGATGGGGTTTCACCGTGTTGGTCACGCTGGTCTGGAACTCCCAACCTCAGCCTCCCAAAGTGCTGGGATTACAGGCGTGAGCCACCGCACCCGGCTATTCAATTGTTTTAAAGTAAAAGAAGCTGGCTGGTCATGGTGGCTCACGCCTGTAATCCTAGCACTTTGGACAGCTGAATCGAGAGGATTTCTTGAGTCTAGGAGTTCAAGACCTGCCTGGGCAACATGATGAAACCACATCTCTACGAAAAGTATGAAAAAAATTAGCTGGCATGGTGGTGAGTGCCTATAGTCCCAGCTACTTGGGAAGCTGAACTGGGTGGATCGCTTAAGGCCACG